AGGAGAGAGGGTGGAGTGGCTGCCCCAGGAGGCACTGTGCTCTCCATCTGGGGAGGCGACCAAGGGAAGGCTGGGGACCCCGCCTGGAAGGGGATTACAAGGAGGACAAGGGGGTCCTTTCAGTCCCTTCCCAACCCTGGGAGTTGCCCCTTTTGGTTCATGTAGGTTGCCACATGCCCTGGTGGATGGAAAGCAGGCTTCCCTGGGCTGAGTGGGAAGGTGATGATGTCTGCAGGCGTCACCTGGGAGCCTGGGGTTCCACCCGTGCTGGGCTCTGCAGAGAAGCAGGTGTGCAGGAGGCAGTGCCCACTGCTGAGGCCCCAGCTGGTTTCCACCTCATCTCAGGTGTTGAATCCAGGTAGCCATGACCCAGGGTCTTGTGTTCGAGGCACAGAGCTGGGCTTTTAGTCCTTCTGACCCTCTGTGAATGCCTGGGGGTGAACACCCCCATTTCATTACTGAGGAAGCTGGCCCTGCCCAGCGGCCCCTTGGTGAGGGAAACCTGGGAGATAATAAGTTTGAACAGGGAGCTTGGCAGTGGGAATGGCAAGAGGGTTTGGTTTTTAGATTTATCTTGAAATGCATCTCGTCTGCGAGCCTTGAGGGTGGGGTTGAGGGCTGAGCAGGGGGTTGAGGGCCACACTGCTGCTTTGTGGGAAGGTTCCGCCCCGTGTTGCTCCAGCCTCCTTAAGCTTCTGCAGACCTCCATCACTCATCCATCACCTGAGCGCACTGTTGGATGCCATTTGGCAGGCGAGGAGGCCCAGGGAAGGCAGAAGGTGCAGGAGTCCTAAATGTGAGTGCACTGTGACTCTTGGGCCAGGAGGCTCCTCTTTTCGTTTTGAGAGGTTCTCAGGGACTTTGCATAAACCTGGAACTTTGTTTCCCAGATGCCATGGGCCGAGCCCATTACCAAAGCTGTCACTGGCAATCTGAGGCCCTGAGTTTTAATTTGTAGCAGCCGGAGGCAGGGAAAGGGAACTGCTTTGTGACTCATGAAGTCACAAAGGCAGAACCACAAATAAGGGACTCCAGTTGGCAAAAACCAAATTGCTTCAAGGCTATTCTTGGAAACTAAAGCATCACGTCTTGTTTCTTCCCAGAAAATGCAGAAATGTTTCATGTTTCTGGGTAGTTGGTTTTATTTATATTTCGTATCGAACTCCAAAAAGGCAACAGCTGGGTGGTGGCTGACAAGGAAGACTTTAGCAAGAGCTGTTACCTAGGGTCCTCTGATTTAGCTAATCCTTGACCTTCTTCTTTGGGGGCAAAAGGGGGTGTCCACCAAAAGTGTCACGTTCCAGTTTCTGGAAGAAAAGGCTTGAAGCTCAGACTCAGACTCACGGAGTCCTTCTAAGTCAGTCTTTCTAGCTCATTAACAAAACCACCTGTACCATGTATGTCCTCAGTCAATTGCCCAAACTTCCTCATAGGAGGTTTCCCACTTTATGTATGGGAAACTTAAAACTCAGAAGTTAAGTGAGTTGTCCAAGGCTACACAGCTAGGAAGTAGATTTGAACCCAGATCTTCTGAATTGAAAGCCCATGGCTTCTAGTTTTAAAGTATATATAATTCCTTGACCTGAGAAGCTAGACCCAGTGGTCATCAATTATGTTCCTTTTTTCCTTCCTTCCGGTTTGGTGACATTTGGGCCATTTGAAGAATAGTAATGAGGGCTGGTTATCATGTAGCTGCCAAGGTGCTGTGTACATCACTTACGTGATGGTGTTTATTCCTTACAACCCTGTCAAGTGAGTAGTAGTATCCCCACTTAACAGGCTGAGGTGGATCAGAATGCCCAGGGTCACACAGTTAGCAAGTGTGTGGGGTGAGATTCACATGCGGGTTTGCCAGCCTCTAAATATCCTCATGTTCTTCTGTGAGGAAACTTACCCTGCACGGGCGTTAGAGTGGTTTAAGGTCTTTGACTTAAATTGGAAAGCTGATTTTAAGGGTTGAGACTAGATCGTTTAGATCCAGGGAGGCAGGTCTGAGCCTGGTACCGGCTGCTGGGGTGCAGACTGGGGCAGCGCTTATCCGCCCCCTGTCTAGCCGTCTCCCTCCACCTCCCCTTATCTCACTCCAGATAAGAGCTGGTTCCTGGAGCTCCCACGCCCACCCAGCACCCCCTTTGGCTCTTTCTGCTGGAGCCCAAAGATTAAGTGGGTCGTTTTTCTTTTGGCGGAGGAGGGGAGGCAGCTGGAGTTGGGGGGGGACAGGTTCTTCCAGTTTGTAAATTATTCTCTGGGAATCAGGTCGGACTTGATGCCTCTAAACAGTTTGCCATTTTGAACCAGGAGGAGTGGCAACTTGGAGAAGTGATTTACGAAACTATTTTTCAAACTGGTGCATTCCCCGGATACAAATCTGCCCCACGTGATGGATGCAGCACACATTTCCACATCCACCGAGCGCCTCCCAGGGCCAGGCTCAGCCATCACACAGGATCTCGCCCCTCACGGCAGCCCTGCAAGCTGCAGATTATCATCCCTCTCTTACAAAGAAGAAACTGAGGCTCAGAGCTTAAGTGGCTTGAGTGAGGTCATGTGGGACAGTGAAGGGCCAAGTTGAGTTTTGGACTCGGGCTCCAGAAGCCCCAAAGCCTTGTGGTTTTCTCTACACCAGCTGCCCATCCTCAGAAAGGACGGCAGGATGCCATTTGAATTCAGGTAGCTTTGTGCTTGTCACTCAGCTACTGCATCCTTTCTTTAGTCACAAAATGGATCCAAAGATAGGCAAAGACTGAGGATGTTAATACGCTCTGAAAAGCAAACAAGTCGTGCTCTCTGTTGATGCTCTCTGGGTGGCACATCTTGCACACGGGCAAAGTTGAAACAAGTAGGAGGCAGTGTTTATGTGAGTGATGCCAAAGGAGGCGCCACGGACATTACAGGAGCCCAGAGAGCATCTGTGAGGGAATCCATGTCTTATCCATACCAGGCAAAGCACAGAGCCAGCCTTCCAAGTTGGCTGAATGTGCTGAGTTGAGGGGGCCCAAGCAGCCAGGTAGGTTCTCACGGAGGTGGGGGGCCTGGCTGAAGAGTGGGACTTGGCTAGGCCTGGAGCAGGGAATGCGCTCTTCTCCCTTCAGCCGAACATGGTGCCGGGCACATTGCAAGTTCTTGGGGAAAGAGGGAAGGGAGGGAGGGGTCCTATCCTGTTGCCGGTGCCCCCGTGCTAGTCAGTGTCTAAGAGCTCGTTTGCCCCCAGCAGGCTGCTCCTCACAGGTGGTACCCAGCCGGGCCGCCCTACAACATTCGTGTTCATGCTTTTCTTGTCCCCTAGCTCTCCCAGTTTCTTTCCTCATAGCCGCCTCCTTCTCCAGTCCACCCTCTGCCATCTTATCTTCCCAAAGACTTGTCTCATCCTGCAGCTGCGTCTCCTGTACCCCACAGCCCACTGGAGAAGCCAGGCCCCCTCCACGATCTGCCCTGGATATGGCCTCCCCACCTTGTCACAAGTTTTGAACTCCCGACGCCTTGAACTTGCTGTCATTCTGCAGCTGTCCTGGCTCTTTCCAGATTCACGCCTTTGTGCAGTGTTTCCTTGGCCTGAAACATCCATCCCCCAGTCTTCTAATGACATCTGCCTCGTTCCTAACATTGTCGTGTTTGGCATTTCCCTCTCGTGGCTCCCCTGGGCTCTGTTGGACACCTCCTGCTCTGGGTGTCCATGCACTGTGTTCATAGGCCACAAGCGCTCGCCTGTTGTCTTGTAATCAGCGCTTGGTGGGCCCCTCTACCTTGCTGGGCCACATGTCTGCATCCCTTACAAAGACACCAGTAATTGTTGCTAAGTGAATGAGTAAAAGATTAAGGAAGAAGATAAACACCATTCTCTGCTTTTAGTATTATAAGGCCAGCCTGCCATCCCAATGCACCCACAATAGCGTTGCTGTCTGGAGGGTGGGAAGCCACGCAGCCTGAGGGCCTTGTCTCTGTGTGTTTGCTGCCCTCCTCCTGCCGGGCCTCTGTCTGGGGGAGCTTGGTATGCTGTATCCTATCCTTTACAGACCCCCTCACGCCCTACTGACAGCTGGCCAGCCCCAGCTCCTCCACGCCTATCTTCTTGCACTAGCTTTGGATTCTGGAAAAATAGTAGTGCTTTGGAAAATCAGCTTTAATTTATTTTTGTTCTTTTGAAACTTAAATGACTTTCCTAAAAAATGCCTGAGGTTATAGTATTGCAGAGAGAAAGGACGGTGGCCAACACCCAGGCAAGCTATTTTTGTGGTGTGAATGAACACCCATCCCATTTCCCCCGCATCAGCCCGAGCACTTGTTCCAAATAGCTCACAGCTTGGGCTTACAGAGCACAGACCCCTTTCGCCCATTGGGAGGAGATCCATGTGTCTCTGTCTTTCTGTGTGTCTGACTGAGGTAGATGCTGTGCTGCCAGCAGAGACCAGGAACAGACAGAAGTTTGGAAAAGTGGCCATTTGTCGTCTGTGTAGGGGACAGACCTGCTAATGACTAATGAAGGCAGACTTTAAAGTCTGATGTCTAAGGGTAGGTGGGATGGTCCTGAAATCTAGGGAGGCATGTGGTTTGATTTTTTTGGTCTGCTCACTGGAGTCATGTTACTAGGTGACGTTAATATCAGTCAACCAATTTGCAGGAGCAAGAATTGTAGGTTTTCAATGGTGGTAAACCTAGAGTGCTTTTCTGGCTTTTTCCTTTTACTAGCTCCTATTCCTAGAACTATCTAGGTCTTAGCAAGATTGACCAGGTAATATTGACCTCAGCCAGGGTATAGCTTTGAGCAATCTGTGCTTCTTTTTAGCCAGCGAGAAGAGCAGAATGTTGGGGAGAAAGAGATTGCCAGCAAGGCAGCATCGCCAGGTTGGAAGGTTTGAGTGTACGTTTTCTGTAGATTATTTGTTTTGTATTAAGTGTTATATTTAGTATCTTACAGGGATTTTATTTTGACTGTCAGCACCCATTCCCCACCCTACCCTGGTGGCCACGGAGCTCACCCCTGCCTCCCCCTGCCTTTGCAGGTGTGACGCTTCTCCGGGAACTTCATGGTGTTCTCCTCCACGCTCTCCACACCACCGCTCCACGCGGCTGCTGGACCATGGGGGAAAACGAAGACGAGAAGCAGACTCAGGCCGGGCAGATTTTCGAGAACTTTGTCCAGGCTTCCACGTGCAAAGGCACCCTCCAGGCCTTTAACATCCTCACACGGCACCTGGACCTAGACCCACTGGACCACAGAAACTTTTATTCCAAGCTCAAATCCAAGGTGACCAGCTGGAAGGCCAAGGCCCTGTGGTACAAATTGGACAAGCGTGGATCCCACAAGGAGTATAAGCGAGGGAAGTCGTGCATGAACACCAAGGTAGGGAGAGCCCTGGTGGACGTTTCCCACACTGTGGGGCACACGGGTTGACTGGTTGGGAGGTTAGGACCTGTTCCATTTTGCCATTCTAAGGTTCGTAAGAGGTGTGGGTGTGTTAAACCGTCTGGCTCGGTTGAAGGCTTCCTTTGTTTATACAGGCACAACTTATCCATATAAGGTGGGTGCTTCCACTTTATTGTGGTGGCTTCAGCTACTCTTCCTGTGCCCTCTCCACTGCAGAGAAACCGACGGCATGCTTGACGCCATCCTACTTCTACTCTTACTACCACCACTACGACTTCTAGTAGCTACTATTTATTTCTACGTGCTAGGCACTTTATGTACATGGTCTCATTGCACCCACCCACGTGGTCCTTTGGGCCATTTTAGAGAGATGGAAAGAGAATCAATTATCTTACCCAAGGTCACACAATTAGATGGCAACCTCGGTCTGTCTGATTCAAGGGTTTAAGTCCTAAATTCCATGGCGAGGCATAATTAAAGAATTGTGTTCCCCTGGGAGCAAGCACTTTAGAAAGGTCCCCTGACTTGTAATGAATTGACTAAGAAATAGGTCTTTGGTCCTTAGTGCCCTTCCTCCCTCTCTCTTTCTCTTCCTCCCCACATCTCCACATTCTCCCCTCCCCAGCCCTTTCCCAGAAGGATTTCTCTGCTCAGGATCCCACTTGCAGTTAACCCTCCCTAAGCTGATTACGTCCCCCACTGTTTGACCATAGGTAGCATCGGTGAACATGGGGCTGACCAGCACATCACCTCTCTGTATCTCTGCAATGCCTATCGCCGAATGGGCACCCAGAAGTCAAGACTTTCCAGTGGGCCCTTGGGGGCTGTCAGCCTGGGCGCTGGTCCAAGCTGTATGTTTAGATTAAAAGTGAGCGTACTGTATTTAGACCTCTCAGGAGGTAGCTCAGCCAGAGCCCTTGGAATTCTAGTCAGTGCCAATCCCAGACAAGAGGATTGAACTCTCCATGGTGATCAGGACTGTTGTGGTTTTGTTTTGGTGATGAGGAGCCGTTGTGTCCATCATGGGATACGGCTGCTTTCCCTTGCCCCCGGGGAGACAGCTGGCAAGCTCCTCCGAGCCTGGGGCGCATCGACTGTCCATTGCACAAGAAGAGCATTGCATGGGTAACCAAACAGACCAGTCGCTTCAGCTCAGAGCGTGCTAGCCATCCAGGCAGTGCCCCACCCCATAACCTGCCAAGCTTCAGCCTTACATAGAGAAGATGGAAGTGTGAAAGAAAAGAGGGGGAGAAAGGGGTGCAGCCAGTATCCTGGGTGCCACCCCCACCCAGCACCTCCCTTCCTAGTTGTAAATTCATGGTTCATACATCACTCGGCAGCTCTTCAGACTTAGAGAAGGGGAAGATTTTAGCTTTCAAAGCATCATATGGGGATGCATATGATGGCTTTCTTTTAGAAAGACCCCATAGAAGTCAGGTGGCTGGGCTGCAATATGTTTTCTCAGAGAAGGTTTTCAGGGGTCTTGTTTTATTAGGAAATGCTATGCCCCATACACCCAGCGGTTTCTAGCTGTTGAGGGAATCCCTCGGAGATCTGAAGACAGACCTGCTGAGGGAGTGAGCCCGCAGGAGGATGGAACGGAGGGTTGACCACTATGAAGATATCCTTCTTCAAACATCACTAGCCAGTTGCCTAGCCTGTCTGGCCAGCCCCTGTTTTACAGTTTTGATGGCTTGAAATAGAACAGTCCTCACATCCTGTGGTTGGCAGGTCAACATTGGTGCCAGAGATACAAAGGGAAAGAACTTACATCTTTGGTTACTGATGCTGAGCAAGAGTGATTCTCACCCAGGAATTTTTACTCCTTTCTTAGGAGGAGGAACAGAGACATTTCAAATGTGTGGCAACCCATCTCATAAAAATGACCTAGATTCCGAAGAACAGAAGATACATTTGTGAACGCACTCTAAATGCGGTTGTGACCGTGTTAGGCCACTTTAGCTGTACATTTCAGAAACCCAACTCACACTAACCTAAACAAACAGGGACATGATTAGCTCATATAAACAGGAAGGTCCAGACACTCACAGTCTTTCCCATCCTCCCTCTTTTTGTCTCTTTCTGGATGTTTTGCTCTGTGTTAGCTCCATTTTTCCCTCCTGCGAATGGATTTTCTCCATGTTGGTAGCCTCTAGTTCATATCTTCATAGTTCTGTGGCCCAAAAGGCTAGACCCTTTCTCTTCCTGCTTGACATTGAAAAAAATCAAGGGAAGGATTCTGATTGGCTCACCCCTGGGCCAATTATTGTGGCCGAAGCCAGGGGAGCTACCTACCATCTTTGGCAGCCCTTTCAAGCATCACATGATTGACATGAGAGAGGAGCAGGGCCCCAAGGACATGGAGGTGCGAGACAGATAAACAACAGGTATCCTCCGGTTGGCTGTTGATTTGCGCTCCGGTTATGGTGCAGGCCCTCTCCGTCTTGGATTCATGGATCGTGAATGCTCAGCTCTAAGAACCTGGTACTTGTACTCCTTGTTGTGAGTCAAACAAAATGCAGAACATGGTCCTCCCTTTCTTCCGACGTGAACAGACACTGTCTTGCTCACCCACCTCGTTTGGATATCTCTTGGTCTGGTAGTTTACGCTGAGCGTTAGCCGAACAAGAACTGCCGGGCGTTAGCATGCACATGGCTGATCATTAAGGCCAAGCTGTACAGCACAAGTGTGTCAGGTGGCAGGGACATAGCCAAGCTCCTGGCTAGCAACAGGTAGAGTGGGAATGAATGAAATTCAGCCAGAACTCCCACCTTTGCGCTGATGTGGTTGCACATCTGCACTGTCTGGAGGGGGTCGGCTTTAGTGTTTCGCAAGCATTAATCAGCCCCAACCATGTGCTAAGTAAGCAGTGTGGCTCCCTTCCTGCCAGCAGTGAGTGAGTGTGTGTGAGTGTGTGTGAGTGTGTGTTGGCGATGGTGGTGATGGTGGTGATGGTGCTGATGGTGAGGGAGATTGGTGACCAGGATCTGTTTGGAGAAGAAAGCCTCTGGTTCAGGGGACAAGGGACAGAGAGAAGAACCTTCAAGGTCACTATAGCAGTGGCTTAGGTGCAGGTTGCATAATCTAACTTGAGCTCATTATTAATTATTGATTATTATTTATGAGGGTTTTCCCAGGCCCTTAATCCTTCTTTCTCTGGGTGTGATCTGTTTGGATGAGAATGGAGAGAACCAAGGAGCAAGCCAAGTGAACTCTTTGAGAACCGATAGTAGTACCCGCATCAATTGCCACATCCCGTTGTGTAATGTTCCAGGGAAAACAACCCGGAAGAAAAGGCAATATACAATTTGGTATGGGAATTGCCATCATCCCAAAGTCATGGAGTCTGGGTGTTCATTTTATATGTGCCTTTAATGCTAGGAGGAACTTGAAAGGTTGTTGTGTACAGTCTCTGCATTTGACAAATGACAAATGGGGCCCAGGAAGCGGAAGCTGTTTGGCTGAAACTAGTGGGTGGCATTGCCTGGATTTGGGTTCTATTGATGGGTTTGCTTGTATATTCTTTTGTTCATTCATTCATTAGCTGTTTCCAGTGCCCTATACCTGAGAAGGTGTTTGAAGGGGAGATAGCTTCAAAGATTAATAAGAAGTGGTTTTCGCTTGAGCTTTCTATAGAGGAGACAAAAATGTCACTATTTTCTGTATTTATTAGCTTGTTGAATCATTTATGGGGTGAATAATTATTGGGCAGCTACTGTGTGCCAGGCACTCGTCTAGGTAGCTATCAGCCACTTCATAGCTCTGTTGCCTTGGGCAAGTTACTTAAATCTCTGATCCTCAGTAACATTCTCTGTAATGTGAAGATAACAATGGTACTTCCTTCATGGAGTTACTGTGAGGGTTAAATAAGTTAATCTGTAAAGTGTTTAGAACACGGCCTAATACATAATAAATAAGTGATCAGTAAGCGTTTAGTCATTGTTATCATTAATATCCTAAGTGCTATGAGAGAGGTGTCTGCACTGTTCTGCAGGAATATGGAAAAGAAAGTGACTAAGCGTGACTGGGGTAGTCTAGGAATGCTTCCTGGAAGAGGAGGTATGCTTTGGGGCTTGACAGATGAGTTGGAGCTTGCCTTGCTTTGCTGAGGGGAGAGCTAGAGGCAGCACAAGGCAGAGAGATATAGTCCAGGAAGGGTGTTGCTCGTGTCCTGGGAATGAAGGTACTTGTGGGGAGGGGGGAGGGGGTGAGAACCGAGAGAGCAGATTGGATGGATGACAGGAGGAGGGGAGAGAGAAAGGCCTCTTGGGGCCAGGCTGTGAAGAGAGGGTCCTGCAGTCAAACAGAGGACCTGGAGGACCACCGGATGAGCCCCCCACTTCCCAGTTACCTCCGTGGGGTGGCTCAGCAATCACAGGTAACCGCTTCAGACAGAAGGCATTCGTACATCCTCGCCATAAAAACACACTTGCGGGAAATGACGCACGGACTCTCTTGTCACCAGCAGAAACGGGGCCGGCCTATGTGATGAACCCCCTGGGTTATCTTGTGAGAAGGAAATGTCTGCATTTTGTGAGCCTCCAGCAGGGTCACCCCACACCTTTTGCTCCTGAACGTGACCTTGCCCATCTGCGGTGGCTCCCCAGTGGGGGGTAGCCAAGGCCCGGCAATGCTTACAACCCAACTCATCACACAGTTCCTGAGCCTCATTAGTACAGCACAGCAGGAGGAGGAGAGGGTCAGAGGGAGAGAAGGGGGGCAGGGGTGAGGCTGGGAACGGAAAGCTGTTATCTCTTGGCCTGGATAAGCTTATCTCACATTCCTGACCTCTGACATCACCCACCGGGGCCCTCAAAGCTAGGCTCTGCTGCGCTGGCTGGGGCACGTCAAGTAGCCCTTTGCCTAATACGGACAGTAGCAGACAGACCATCCAGCAGAGGCCGGTCTCTGGGGTGTGAAATTCTGTAGCAGTCGAACAAAGAGCTCAGACAAACTCTGGGTCTGTCCACTTGCC